GGCGGGGAGACCATCGCACGCCGCCGCCTCCAGGTCCCGCCGTCGGCGCTGCCATCCGCCCGTCGGGTTGGCGTGGCTGTCGCCGGGAGCCCGGGGCGGGAGCGCCGCCCGGGAGAGCCTGGCCAGCTGGAGCCGGTGGCTGGAAAATTGTCATCGCCTGGGAGGCGCGGGAGCCCCGGGAGAGAGGCGAGCCGCCGTCTCCCCCCCCCCCCCGCACCGGGGGCTGCCAGCCTGCGGCTCGACCACATTCCTGCCGTGGCAGGGCGGGACGCCGACCGGGAACCCCAGTGCCCCCGGGGCTGACGACTGACGGTAGGCCCTGCCCGTGGCCAGCGGGCCGCTCCCCCCGGCGGCCTCCTTCCTCCTGCCCGATCCCATCCCGGGAGCCTGGTGTGCTCTGGGCTCCCCGATTCAGAGCAAACCCAGCCAGCCTTCTAGGCCCTTTAGAGGGGAGCCACTCATAAGCCTCCAGCCCACCCCTCCCCCTCCCCTTGTACTCCCCTAATCCTGAACAACTCACCCTGAACTTAATTAGGGAGCGTGAAGAGTTCAGAGGACCGTAACTTTTAATATGCTACTCTTTTTTTTTCTTTAAATAAAACGTATTTAAAGAAAAAAGAAAACCCACCAACTCTGTGTTGCCTTTAAGTAGAGCTCTGGGGAAGCCACATCCTGTCTACAGACAAAACGCAGCAGCATTCGGGCTAAGGGCAGCTGTGGACTGCCCGCCCACCTAGGGTGATGTATTCAGGGGCAACAGGTTCCTAAGGACCCACCTTGGAGCTTTGAGGGTACCTGGCCTTCATGACCAACTGACCCTGTCTCTCAACAGGCACTGTTACCTCTTGTTTCCATTCCAAGACCCTACTGGCTTCTGCTTGGCCTTCAGAGCGCTCTGAATCACCCTTTCTAGTCTCATCTTCCACCTGCCCTGACCTCAGATCATGGGTGCTTCCAACATTCCCTCTTCCACCTGGCAGGCACATAACCCCTTCCTCTAGTCCTCCTCCTCCTCCTTCCCCTTCATTTTTTTCCCCCTTCAAGACTGGGATTCAAAGTCTGTATCTGATGCTTTCGCTCTACCACCTAAGCTCTGCCTCCAACCCCAACTCCAGCCCGTCTATGCCCAACTCTTATCTCCTCCTCTGGGAAGCATCCTTCCCAGAGCCCATGGCTTTATTCCTCAGTGGCCTCTCATACAGGATCCTGTTATAACACAAGCCTCCCCATCCCGCACCTGCAGCCAGGCGGGCACTCAAGGATGTGTCTGATGGGAAAATAAGACAGAACAAGGGTAGCACATGCTTGCGTGGTTACCTGGGAGAAGGTTGCTGGGTGCATGTTAGAGAGCAGACACCTCCAGCCCAAAGCCATTAGGACTCTGTGGGAGGTGCTTCTGCCACTGGGGAGTGTCTGGCAGCCCTAGAGCCAAGGGCAGAGCAGGGCCCACTGTCAGTATTTGAAGACTGTTTCCAGAAGGTTTGTAAGCAGCCAGTGCCCACATCTTAAAAAAAACACACACACACACACATATTCTCTATGAACTTTTTTTTGGTGCTGGTCCTGGGGCTTGAACTCAGGGTCTGGGCATTGTCCCTGAACTTTTGTGCTCAAAGCTAGCGCTCTATCACTTTGAGCCACAGTGCCATTTCCAATCTTTTAGTAGTTAATTGGAGATAAGAGTCTCATGGATTTTTCCTGCCCTGGCTGGCTTTGAACCTCCATCCTTAGATCTTAGCCTCCTGAGTAGTTAAGATTACAGACATGAGCCACCAATGCCCAGCTGTGTTTTTTTCTTTTTCTTCTGGACATCATGCTTGCTTGGTTAGCTACTCAGCTGGTATTTTATCACTTAGGCCACACCTCCAGTCTTGCTTTTTTTTTTTTTTTGGTGGTTATTTTGGAGATGGAGTGTCATAAAGTTTTCTGCCTGAGCTGGTTTTGAACTCCAGCTTCTGGATCTTCACTTCCTGAATAGCCAGGATTATAAACACGAGTCACTACTGCCAACCTTGACCTTATTTTGAACCCACACTCTTCCCAGCCTGGGCTTATTGACTTTAGGAGCTGGACCTTGACAGCTCTTCACTTCGCCCTTTCTTGGTCCTCTTTGGCTTTTGCACATTTGTACCCTGCAGCCCCACTTGATGTGGCCTCGCAGAGTGAGGGTCTCAGAGCCCACTTCCTAGAAATGCTTACCTCTCCTGTCCTGGCAGACCTAGGGGTGGGACTGCCACTTCCACACCCTGGCCCACATGTAGATCCTTCTTTCAAATTAGGTAAAGAAAATAACAGATTCTAAAAAAAAACCAGCTGCTGTGAGGTTCCTCTGCATTGTACTTAGCTTCGCATCCGGAACACAGAAGCTCTGAGTTTAGCAAACTGGGTGCCTGGGATGGAACTGTCTGATGAATCAGTGCAAACTGGAGATAGTCCCCCTTCAGGAGGCTGCACCCCAGTGTCTGAGTTTTCAGGATAGTGGAGGAGACATGAAGAAAATGTCAATGCTCCATAGTGAATGGAAGGGTTTCTCTGTTGAAGGTGGTTGGGGTTCTTAGGACCCCAGAAGCAAAGGATTCATGGGAGTGAGCCCTTAGTGAAATAAAATCCCTGGTGGCATCTTCCCCTTCTCTTTCCTTCCCTTTACTACTCTTATTTTCTTTTCGTTTGCCTTTCTAGACTGCTGCCGAGACAGTGTCAGAGGGGGTGCTGTATATTGGAAGGTTCCAGAGAGTTAAGCTGGGGTTTGTGCTTTTCTGGCTGCATGGTCGCTGTGGCATAGGGCCCCTGGCTCTGGCCACCATCCTGGTGTGTCATGCATCTGTTTCCTCTATTCTGCCCTTCACAAAACCACACAGATAGAAGAGTGTGTAGAGGAGGTCCCAGTGCACGGCATGACTTCTAAGGGTACTGAGCATTCAGGATGGGCCTGACATTTGAACACAGACCTCCTGGCTTGCTGTTCAAGGTTGTACCCCAGCGGGTTCAGGATAAGGAGGCCCAGGTCCAAGTGAGGTATTCTAACCACCTTCTTCTCTGTCCTAGAAGAACCCAGCATCTCTCCCCCATGTCCTGGCTGCTGGCTACTCACCAAGGCTCTGTCCCCTGTCTTTTGGTGAAGGAGTTGAGTTTAACCCCTTACCACCGAAGGAAGTAAGGTAAATACAGCAGTCCCTGAGTTGATTTCTTACATTTTCACTTAAAAAAAAAACCAGACATAATTATTTTTTAACTTAGTTCATTGTGAAAATATACCAAAGATTATTAACCATATGGTAGATATTTTTCCCTAACCAATTAAATATGTAAACACTGGTTTTGAAATACAAATGAGCTCCTGGGATACATAAAGTTATGCAAAGTGCCATAGGCACTTCACATACCGTGGCCCTGGGATGCTAGAACCTGTGTGGAATATGGCTTCCTCTTTCCAGGAGTTGCTGTCTGGGTCCCCCTCTTCAAGGTGCTGTGGGCGGTTTCATGCTGTGTGTGGATGAGCAAGTACCAGTCTTCCTCTGGGCATGAGCTCATGCAGGACTCTCAGGGCAAAGAGTCATGGAGAGGCTCTGTTAAAGGTCTGACTTTTGGAGCAAGGATTTCACTTTTGGTGTCTGGGGGGTTTTACAGCAGGAGTTGCAGTTGGTTAGCAAAAAAAGGCTCTTTGATGTGGATCAGTAAGAAATGTGTCACTCTGCTGAGGTGAGCAGTTAAGCCTTGATTCTTGTGAAGTTTGTGTTTCCAACAAAGTAGGACGTGACTTCATGACATTAGTTCCAACAGCCTCTTTGCTGCTTGTCCAGGGAGAGCAGAGGCGTTTCTATCCAGTTCACAGAGAACGCTGCCCCTCGCTCTCCCACCCATGGCCAGGGGCTGCCAGGTGCAGTTCTTTTTAATTTTTTGTGTCAGTACTAGGGCTTGAACTCAAACTCAGGGCTTGGCATTCTTCCTTAGGTTTTCACTCAAAGCTAGTGCTCTAGTACTTGAACCACCACTCCATTTCTGGCTTTTTGGTGTGATTAATGGAAGATAATAGTCTTATAGACTTCCCTGGGCTGGCTTTAAACTTGGATCCTTAGATCTTAGCTTCCTGAGTAGTTAGGATTACAGGTATGAGAGCCACCAGTTCCTGGCTTGGTAGTTTTTTTTGTTTTTTGTTTTTGTTTTTTTAAGGTAATACACACACACACACACACACACACACACACACACATATATATATATATATACATATATATATATTAGTGTCTTTGAAGTTGTAAAAATAATAAACACTTTACTTCCCTAAAAAATATTACTCCTCCCCCCCAAAAAAAAGCTGGGCACCAGTGGCTCATGCCTATAATCCTAGCTACTCAGGAGGCTGACATCTGAGAATCATGGTTCAAAGCCAACCTGGGCAGGAGTCCATGAGACTCTTATTTACAGTAAACCACCAGAAAACCAGAAGTGTCACTGTGGATGAAGTGGTAGAGCATTCGCCTTGAGCTGAAGAGCTGAGGGACAGTGCCTAGACCCAGAGTTCAAGCTCCATGACAGACAAAAAAAAAAAAAACAAAAAACCTCCAAAAAGAAATTTAATAATACTCCAGGAAATGGAAACAAGAGGCTTTTTTCTTTGTTGCTGTTTTCATTTTCTTTTTGTCTTGTTTGTTCATTTATCTGATTTTGGGAGTGTAAGGGGAGACACAGAAATGGAAGGACTAAGGGTAAACAAATGCAGCAGTGGCACTCCCTAGACACTATATTGAAAATGAACTATACAACTAGTGGGTGAGGATGGGAGGGAAAAACTGGGAGAGAGCGAGGGAAGGAGTGACATTGTCTGAAAAGAAGTATACTCATTACCTGACTTAGGTAACTGTAACCTCTCTGTATATCATCTTTATAATAACAAAAAACATTTTAAAGGTAAAGTCGTAGATAAATATAAATGGGAGCTTATTTGATGAATATCAACACTGTAATCAAGCTTTTGCTCAGGTCCCTGAGTACCTGGTGATTTCCAAAGCAAAGGCCAAGATGGACCAAATACTGGGATCTAATATAGCCAAGTTCCCAGAACCAGCAATCAGAAGTCTTGGTTTTTCCTCCTCTAGGTGCCAGTGGCTCACACCTGTAATCCTAGCTACTCAGGAGGCTGAGAGCTGAAGCTCACAGTTCAAAGCCAGCCTGGGCAGAAAAGTCTGTGAGACTCTTATCACCAATGAGCCTCCAAAAACCTGGAAGTGGCCTTGTGTCTCAAAGTGGTAGAGCGCTAGCCTTGAGCAAAACAGCTCAGCGATGGAGCACAGGCCCTGACTTCAAGGGCTACAACCAACCAAAAAAAAAAAAGTAAATAAAAATAAAAAGCTGATTGTGGTCCCCTCAAGGGACCTCCCCCATGGAGCAGTCAAGTCTATATCATTCTGTAACACAGTCATTCTTGCTCCACCACAGGCATGTTAGGGAAAGGTAGACATTTTTATTATTGCATGCAGTGTTCTTACACTGAAATGTAACCTTACACCGCCCATCATTAACTAGAACACTGTTATGTTGTGGATGACAGCACTTGCTGTGTGTTGACATTCTGCCCCTTTATTTTTGGGCACCCTTTACAGAAAGAGGAAACTGAGGCCAGGACAGTTTAAGCCACTTGACTTAAAGTCTCCTGGCTTATGTAATCAGAAGCAAATCCAGCATCTGCAGCCTGCAGTGGGAATCTTGTCCCAGCTTTGGGCTAAGGGTGTGTCTCGGTGGTAGAGCATTTGCCTAGCATGTGCCAGGCCTTGGGTTGGATCCCCAGCACTGCATATGATAAGTCCTGGACCTACCACTCCGTAGCACCCTGACCTTCATCTCTGCATTTCCCTTTCCTGCTCCCATTTTTGTGAGGGAAATTAAGTTAGATCTTCTGGGTAAAGTGCTTGGAATATTCTTCCTGGCCCAGAGTAAGAGACTTCATAAAGTCTCTCTGCTGCTTCTCTCTGTATAGCCACAGCTCAGTATTTATATCCCAGGAGGGAGTTAAAGTCATAGCCAGAGCCACAGGGTCACGTTTGTAATCCTAGCTACTCAGGAGGCCAAGATCTGAGGGTCATGGTTCGAACCCAGCCTACACAGGAATTTCCACGAGACTCTTTATCTCCAATGAACTATCAAAAAAGCCAGAAGTGGAGCTGTGGTTTAAGTGATGGTATGCCAGTTTTGCCTGATAAAGCTAAAAAATACACCTAGGTTCTGAGTTCAAGCCTCCAGTACTGGCACAAAACAAACAAAACCAAACAGTCACAGGCAGGTCCCTGGGCTTCCTAGCTGCGAGGAGCAGTCTCATGCTGCCTTGTGTCTCCCCTCCAGGTACACGTCCTCGGTCAAGTACGACTCTGAGCGGCACTTCATCGACCATGTGCAGCTGCCCTTGGGCCTGGCAGTGGCCTCCTGCAGCCAGACGGTCACCTGTATCCCCAACTGCACATGGCGTAACTACAAGGCCGAGGTGCGCTTCGAGCCCCGCCACAAGCCCATGCGCTTCCTCAGCACCACCATCATCTACCCCAAGTACCCCAAGACCATCTACACCACCACCCTGGATTACAACAGCCAAAAGAAGCTGAGGAGGTTTTTGTCCAGCGTGGAGCTGGAGGCCGCAGAGTTCCTGGGCAGCGACGGCCTCTCAGATGACTGCTGACTTGTCCTCCCCAGACCACCCGGGGGCAAGTTGGGCAACGTTGCTCTTGTGTTATTCCAATCCCAGTCCCACAGAAGTCTAACCTGGAGATACCTCTAAATCCAGCCGATGGGGGGCAGAGGGGAGAAGAAAATCACTGCATCTTATCATTACGGAGAGACTCGGTCTGGGTTTTGCATTTTCCAATCGCTTTTTACCAGGAGTACATTTCCTGGTTTGTTGCTGTGCTTTCTTCATTGAGGAAAGTCAATGAGGACCAGAGGGAAAGGACAGTGGAGCTGTGTGGAGGAGGGAGGGTGGAGGCGAGCTGGCGCTCTGGCAGCCAGTGTGAGTGTGAGGAAGAGCACACACGGCCCCGCAGTGGAGACGCCACAGGGTGGAAACAAGTCAACTGTAAGAAATTTCAGCCCTGGGTCTCTTTGCTGCTTTCAAGAGTGGAGTGAACTCAGTATGCTATGACCCCCATATGTGTTCAATCTGGGGAAAGCCGAATTCCATTTCATTTTTATTTCCACTTCCATTTGAATTTCCTGTTAACCAAAACTCTTGGAATTTCTCGAGATCATTTTCATGATACTGAAAAAAAAAAAGGGGGGAGGGGAAAGAAAAGCCCAAACCACAATATGAGATGCTTTTAAGAAGGAAAGTTCGCCCTGTTCTTGTCTGCTTTGGGTTGGGGAGTGGGGATGTGGGGGAGGGGGGGAGATGCCGGATGGTCAGTTTGGGAGCCGGTGGCTTCTGTCTGGTTCCAGGTTAGGCTGGTTCCAGGCGTGGCTCTGAAAGAGCCTTTGCGTGCTTGGCATCTGGTTAATGTCTCCGCAGGCTGGAGGAACTCTCTTGATAGGTATTTTGGGGTTTCACAATACTTTCCTAGAGTTTTTTTTTTTTCCTAAGTCAAAATGTAGTGGAGGGCTCTTTTGGAGAGAAATGGCATTTTAAAAGGATGCTTTGGAAAAACACTTTCTGGAACTCCTTGAGGAAGGTTTCCACTCTGGACTTCCCGCTGAAGCCCCGTGGCCCTCCGGAGGAGGCAGCGGCGGTGGCGGTGGCGGTCGCCTATGCTCCCGAGACCCAGTCATCACGATTGCCCGCACAAACTGAGGCCGGATGGATTGATTCCTAAGGCTTGGGTGGTGACCGAATGGTGGGAAAATTGGGTTTCAGCCAGAAGGCAAAGAATCTGGTTTAGTCCCCTTTCCCCTCTCCCCACCCCCGTGTGAAGCCACAATGCAGTGGAATGATGTCACAATCCAAACATCACCTTCTTGGACATTTCTACCACCGTGGACACAGAAGTGGCTATCACAGAGTCAGCCATGAACCCATGAGGTCCCCTAGCCATTGTGTAGGTTAGACCGCCATTGTATAGGTTAGACCACGCAGCTACAACAACACAGCCAGAGCCAAGTGGTTGTAGCACACCAGGCTGCTCCCTGCCCACCTACCTCCCATCATCACCCCACCACCCAGGCCTGGCCCCATCCCAGCCCGTGCTTCTTAGAACCTGCCAACCCTGTGATGCTGGAGGAAAGAAAGAGTCAGATGGATTTGTTTTTTACCCCCCTCCAGTATTGAAAAGAACAAACCATACATATGTCCTTTGACTACATCCGAGAGGTGTCAGGTCTTCCTGGAAGCTTAGCCTCCGCTGTATCTCTGGCTTTCTGTGATGGCTTCATCAGTCCAGAAAGTGGAGCCGAGAGCTTCCTGGGTCACCAGGACCCACTGCAGGGAATTTTGCTACCAGAAAGCTGTAGAATGAGAAGTGTTCTCACTTAAAAGTGACAGAGCCCAGAAAGCCAGAAGTGGTGTCATGGCTCAAGTGGTAGAGCACTAGCCTGGTGCACAAAAGCTCAGGGTCAGCACACAGGCCCCGAGTTCAAGTTCTACAATGGACAAAAAAGATGCCAGAGCCCTCAGGCCACACTGTCCTCAGTTCCCCACTGACCACAATGTCTGCCATGTTGTGTCCCTGACCAATGGACACAAGCTGTTAGAGTCATAGCTGGCTTCATGGTTCCAATTTACCCAGGTTCAGCTTAGCAGGGACCCAATAAAATGGGCAGAGGAACACTCCAGAACCCCACAGCCTCCTCAGTCATGTGCACAGCAACCAATAGTGCCTTGCAAAAAAAAATCAAATTATGCAACCTTTATTGGCAAAAGTGGATTTTCATCTGACTTTGTCATGTCACTTAGTGGTGAATGTAAATTTTAAATGGATGTTAGCATTCCCAAGGCTTTGCTCTGCCCCAGTGGGGACATTTAGACAACTGGGAATGACTTTGTGGGCAGCGTAGCAGGAGAGAGAATGTGGCTTTTGAATATAGCTGTGTTTTGTGGTATCTTGAAGATTTTTTTTTTTTTGAGGGATTGTGTTAAGTTCAGACGGCTCCTTCTGGGTGTGTAAAGAGCCGGAACTGTATCTGTAAAGTAAGTAAGCGAGCGATGGTGGATGTGTACTGTGAGTGGAAAAGCAGGCTTTATTTTGTTAAGTTATTCACTGTACTTCTTTCTCATTTTCTCCTGCTTTCTTGAAAGTTTTAGAACCCGGAAGCGAGGGAGACATGGGGCACTCTGATGGCCGATCAAGTGTCGAGTGTCACCAGTGGGTAGCGGATGCCAGTCTTTTGTTTGCAAGGTAGAAGCTGTGATTTTGTTTTCAAACTCACTGATTCAAAAATAAGCATTTCCTAAGTGTGCAGGAGAGAGATACTTTGTTAATTAAAAGGCTTTTGGGTCAATCTCTCAAGTTATGGCTTTGATGTCCTAAGGATGGTTTGCATTTTCAGAGGAAACTTGCTTTCCTTTCAGATCACATACACTTTTAGATAGACTTCCTGTGAACCAGTATCTTTTCATTTGACACTTTTCCTGGTTTGAACCTTAGAAAATCCAAAATAGTATTTGACAAAAACTGTGTTAAAAAGAAAAGGTCCTTGACACCTGTCCCACTCAGTTTTGTTTTGTGATTTGTCATTTAGAAATAAATTATCTTAAAAAAATAATAAGCTGAATGATGCTTCTCTCTTTTTAAAGTAAATCATAATGTTTGGTTGAAGAGAATATCTTGTTAATATGCAGATAAGGAATGGGAACTGGGTGGTTTTATTTGTCTATCTTTCCGTGTGTGTGTGTGTGTGTGTGTGTGTGTTTACTGCTACTAGGGCTTGAACACAGGGCCTGGGCACTGTCCAGCTATTTTGCTCAATGTTGATGTTCTGCTGTTTGAGCCACAGTTCCATTTCCAGCCTTCTGCTGATTAAGAGTCTTGGGGATTTTTCAGGCTAGCTTTGAACCGTGATCCTTAGATATCAGTCTCCTAAGTAGGTTGGATTACAAGTATCAGTTCCTGGCTCCTGGCTGCTTCTCTTTCTTTAAACTAAAATGATTATGCCCTGCCTCAGCAAAATGAAGAAAACATCTCATTTTGAGAAATGTTAAGACATGATCACATTAAACAGTGTTACTGTGCAGGTATTTGAGGAGCTGAACACAGAAATTTTATTTATCTGTTTTTAATGGTCTATATTAATTGAACAGATGGGTTTCATTGTGATATCCCCATGCATCCCTATAATGTATTTGCCTTTCTATTACTCTTTTTTTTTTTTTTTTGTCCATTGTAGGGCTTGAACTCAGGGTCTGGGCGCCATCCCTGAACCCTTTTGCTCAAGGCTAGTGTTCTACCACTTTTAGCCACAAGTTTTCTGGTAGTTAATTGGAGAGAAGAGTCTCCCAGACTTTCCTGCCCAGGCTGGCTTTGAACTGTGATCCTCAGATCTCAGCCTCCTGAGTAGCTAGGATTACAGGCATGAGCCTCTGGCACCCAGCTTCCCTCTATTACTCTTTCTTATCCCTTCCCCACAAGAGAATTTGATTCTGGAACAGATAGGCACTCATTCCTCAAGTCCATCCACCTGGACCGCAGCTGTGATTGGGGAGGTAGGGTCATTTCTTTCTATCTCCCTTTCCAGTGTGCCCCTCCCCCAACTTTCCAGGACAAATGCACACTAACCCACCCTTAATTTTATTGTGGTGCATGGCTTTGGACTGGAAGAACCTGCAGACATTAGACAATTAAAAGAAGACACTAGTACAGGAGCTTGTGAAGGAGTTTGCACCTGTGAACTCTGGGCCTGGATGCTGTCCCTCAGCTCTTCAGCTCAAGGCTAGCACTCTACCACTTGAGCACTCTACCACTTCTGGCTTTTTCTGCTTATGTAGTACTGAGGAATCAAACCCAGGGCCTTATACATGCAAGACAAGCACTCTACCACGGAGCCACCTTCCCAGCCCCTGACATGTAATTCTTTTATGGAGGGACTATGATAGCAGGAGCAAGGAGTTGGGATGTCCTCCCTTCTAGTACCTCACAAAGGGAGGCCAGTGGAAGCAATAATACTTTTCATTGAACACTTGGATCTCTTCAATCTCAGGCTATCCTCTTCCCTATGGATACAGTCCTATAGGGGACCTGGTAAAAGGTTTATAGTTGAGACTCCTGTAGCAAAAGACTAACAAGAGGGCTAGGAATGTAGCTTAGTGGTAGAGTGCTTGCCTAGCATGCATGAAGCCCTGGATTTGATTCCTCAGTACCACATAAACAGAAAAAGCCAGAAGTGACACTGTGGTTCAAGTGGTAGAGTGCCAGCCTTGAGCAAAAAAAGAAGCTCAGTGACAGTGTCCAGGTCCTGAGTTCAAAGGGGGGGGGCTAGCTAGGGTTGTGGCTCAGGTGATAGAACACTCGCTTAACATGACGACTTGAATCCCCAGTACCAGCACAAGGAAAAAAAGGAGATCTGTGTAGTTTGCAAAGCCATATAGAGGTCTGACTGGAGGACAGAAGGGTAACAAACTGGGGTTTGAGGTGCTTAGGAGGGCATGTTTGTTCACTTTCTTCTTGGCATTCCTGTGTGACATTCCATTCCTCCCGGATTTAGGGTAGGACACCTGGCACAGGCAGGTCTGCAGAGAAAAGGAAGGAGAGAGTCAGAGCGGGAGCTCCTTGCGGATTTATGGTCTGCCTCAAGGCAGGGGTACCAGGAAGGAATTCCTGACTTTCACAGCCTGCTTCAAGGAAGGAATGAGGTAGAGAAGGTCTGAGAACTTCCTGCTTCTGTAGTTTTCTTATCTTCCTGAAGCTTAAAATATGTAGCTTACAAGCCTGGTGCTTGTACATTCAGGCCTGAAATCCTTGCTATTCCAGAAGCTGAGATCTGAAAAGCAAGGTTTGAAGGTAACATAGGCACCAAATCTGAGGGCCTCTTATTTCCAATTAGCCAGCAAAAAGCTATGAAGGTGTAGTTTAAGCTGAAAAAGAATGTGAGGGGGCTGGGAAGGTGGCTCAGTGGTAGAGCGCTTCCCTTGCATGCCTGAGGCCCTGAGTTCAATTCCTCAGCACCACATAAGCAAAAACAAAAAAGCTGGAAGTGGCGCTGTGGCTCAAGTGGTAGAGTGCTAGCTTGAGCTGAAGAGCTGAGGGACAGTGCCCAGGCCCAGAGTTCAAGCCCCACGACCGGAAAAAAAAAAAGAAAAAGAATGTGAGACCCTGAAGCCAGGTGCCGGTGGCTCACACCTGTAATCCTAGCTACTCAGGAGGCTGAGCTCTGAGGATCACAGTTCAAAGCCAGCTGGGGCAGGAAAG